ATAGGGAGCTCCACCGAAGGCCCCAGTGGCAGGGTCCGCATGCCTCCCCACCACCCATTTCGGCACACCCCTCACACGTTTCGTGGCCCCATAGGGAGCTCCACCGAAGGCCCCAGTGGCAGGGGCATCCGCACACCCCACCACCCATTTCGGCACACCCCTCACACGTTTCGTGGCCCCATAGGGAGCTCCACCGAAGGCCCCAGTGGCAGGGTCCGCATGCCTCCCCACCACCCATTTCGGCACACCCCTCACACGTTTCGTGGCCCCATAGGGAGCTCCACCGAAGGCCCCAGTGGCAGGGTCCGCATGCCTCCCCACCACCCATTTCGGCACACCCCTCACACGTTTCGTGGCCCCATAGGGAGCTCCACCGAAGGCCCCAGTGGCAGGGTCCGCATGCCTCCCCACCACCCATTTCGGCACACCCCTCACACGTTTCGTGGCCCCATAGGGAGCTCCACCGAAGGCCCCAGTGGCAGGGTCCGCATGCCTCCCCACCACCCATTTCGGCACACCCCTCACACGTTTCGTGGCCCCATAGGGAGCTCCACCGAAGGCCCCAGTGGCAGGGTCCGCATGCCTCCCCACCACCCATTTCGGCACACCCCTCACACGTTTCGTGGCCCCATAGGGAGCTCCACCGAAGGCCCCAGTGGCAGGGTCCGCATGCCTCCCCACCACCCATTTCGGCACACCCCTCACACGTTTCGTGGCCCCATAGGGAGCTCCACCGAAGGCCCCAGTGGCCTCGGGTTCGTGGCCCCATGCACTGAAGGCCCCCCCACACACCCATTTCGGCACACCCCTCACACGTTTCGTGGCACCATAGGGAGCTCCACCGAAGGCCCCAGTGGCTGCGTTCGCATGCCGCCCCCACACCAATTTCGGCACACCCCTCACACGTTTCGTGGCCCCACAGGGAGCTCCACCGAAGGCCCCAATGGCTGCGTTCGCATGCCGCCCCCACCCCAATTTCGGCACACCCCTCACACGTTTCGTGGCCCCACAGGGAGCTCCACCGAAGGCCCCAGTGGCTGCGTTCGCATGCCGCCCCGACACCCATTTCGGCACACCCCTCAAACGGTTCGTGGCCCCATAGGGAGATCCACCGAACACGGTACTCACACCAGCATTATTCACAGCTGCATATGGTTGGGTCCTTTGCCAGGCTAATTTTCTTGGGAGGGGAAAACGGATGATTCGCCATAAACCAGTGCGCGCGCATAGTATTTTTTGCAGAAGATGAGGGGGGAAGTGTTACCAACCTGCTTGGATTGGTATCAGTTCAAAATCAGGATGGACGATGGGGCATAATCATATGTTAATTGTACTACGAAAGCGGGGGCGGTTAAATCTGGGGGGGGGTAGATCTTAATTTTTTTCTCAACCATCCTGTGGTGTTGGGTCCTCGTTGTAAGAAAACGGTCCCCGCGTCTCCTCCTCCTCCCGTGCCCCCCCCCAAGTGGGGTGTACCTCACGCGTCCGCCACACCCAGTACGGCGCTTCGTGGCCCCATATGGAGCTCCACCTAAGGCCCCAGCGGGGTGTGCCACATGTGTCCGCCACACCCAGTACGGCGTTTCGTGGCCTCATAGGAAGCTCCACCGAAGACCCCGGTGGGGTGTACCACATGCGTCCGCCACATCCACTACGGCATTTCGTGGCCCCATAGGGAGCTCCTCTGAAGGCCCAGTGGGGGTGGCCACATGCGTCCGCCACACCCAGTACAGCGTTTCGTCGCCCCATACGGAGCTCCTTCTAAGGCTCCAGTGGGGTGTACCACATGCATCTGCACACCCAGTAGTGGGGAACTCCACCGAAAGCCCCAGCTGGGGTGTACCACGTGCGTCCGCCACACCCAGTGCAGCGTTTCGTGGCTCCCTAGGGAACTGCACCGAAGGGCCCATTGGGGGTGGCCACATGCGTCCGCCACACCCAGTACGGCGCTTCGTGGCCCCATAGGGAATTCCACCTAAGGCCCAGTGGGGGTGGCCACATGCGTCCACACCCAGTACAGCGTTTCGTGGCCAATGGGACCGTCCGGATGCGTCCCGCACGCCGAATTTTGCATTTTCACCCACCCAGTGCAGCGTTTCGTGACTTCATAGGGAGCTCCACCGAAGCCCCCAGTGGGATCGCCCGCGTGCGTCCCGCACGCGCAATTTGATATTTTCACCCGCCCAGTACAGCGTTTCATGGCCCCAGTAGGGAACACCGAAACCCCCACTGGGACCGCCCGCATGCGCCCCGCACGCTGAATTTGGCATTTTCACACACCCAGAACAGCGTTCCGTGGCCCCATAGGAAGCTCCACCGAAGCCCCCAGTGGGACCGTCCGCATGCGTCCCGCACGCCCAATCTGGCATTTTCACCCACCAAGTACAGCGTTCCGTGGCCCCACACCGAGCTCCACCGCCCCCAGTGGGACCGTCCGCATGCGTCCGGGAAGGCAAATTTGGCATTTTCACCCACCCAGTACAGCATTTCGTGGCCCCACAGGGAACTCCACCGAAACCCCCAGTGGGACCGTCCGCATGCGTCCCGGAAGCCCAATTTGGCATATTCACCACCCAGTGCAGCGTCTCGTGGCCCCATAGTGAGCTCCTGAGCTCCACCGACGGCCCCAGTGCTACCGCCCGCATGCGTTCCCCCCCACCCAGTGCAGCGCTTCGTGGCCCCATAGGGGGCTTCACCGAAGAAGATATTCTCAATTGCGGTACCCACAACTGCATATGGTTGGGTCCTTCGCCAGGACAATTTAAAAAAAGGAGAACCGATGTGGTGCAATCTATGTGGTGCCATCTATTCTGTGCAATCTGTGTTTGGCAGTCAATGTTCTGCAATTCGAGAGTCGGCGACGTGGCGGCGACGGCGATGTTTTAACCGTCAGGCCGGCAGACAGTCCCAGACGACCGGCGGCGGCGAGGCGGCGACGGGGCGGCGACGGCGACGACATAGCCGCCAGTTCGGCAGACATGCCCAGACGATGGGCGGCGACGGCGACTACAAAGCCGCCAGAGCGGCAGACAGGCCCAGTCCCTCAGAAGACAAGTGAGAACCCCTAAGTGCGTGCAAGCACTGTCGGGGGAATGTATTCATACGCGCCTTTCCGAGGGAGTACGGATCAGAGGCGAATGATTGAAGCCGCGGCGTTTTTTCTCGCCGTTTCGCTCGGGACACTTCGACATTCAGAGCGTCGGGCGCACCGTTCACGCAGATCGCCACTTCACGGTCCGAAAACATATGGGTTTTAACTTGTAATTTCAATTACCGATGGAATTCATCGGATGATCATCCGGTTCGCGTCAGATATCCCCCAAACATTGAAACCATACTTATTCGTATTCATACTTGTTGTTGTATTCTTCAAAACGACAGCTTCGCTCGAGACATCAAGTGTCTTCGGATCTTTATGTCAACTGCAGTCGCAAGGAACTTTCTACTCCGCCACAAGCATGATTATGTGCGGCCCCCCAACTTGCGTTCGGCTGCGATCCCGCTATGGCTCCTCTTTCCTAATCTTCCCCTGATGATCCTTAGTATCCTCTTTTGCTTTTCTCTCTGATGCTACATCTCCTAACTCCTCCTCGTCCTTCTCGGATCCGACCTCATATTTATCTTCTTGTCCACCTTCTGCGATTATTATCTGCTTCATTTAGTTAAATGTATGAGCCTGGGCACGCACGTGTCACTGGTATGGGTATGCATAACTTATTTACATACACATATAAGTATACATATATCTATATACATATAGAGCTATATATTGAATCCTATGCACATAAGATGAAGTGAGAAGGGAGAGATACAGAGAGAGAAAAAGAGAGAGAGAGAGAGAGAAAGAGCGAGAGCAGGAATGAGGCGTTGAGTCAGAGTGAGGGTGAGATGGAGACGGAAGAGACCAGACAGAGAGAGAGAGAGAGAGAGAAAAAGAGTGTGAAGCCGTCGTCCATCGTCTTCCGCCGTCGTCCGCTGTCGTGCGCTGTCTTCCGCCGTGGTCCGCCGTCGTTCTCGTCGTTGGTCGTCGACGGTATCGTCCGCCGCCGCTGCCGTCGTAGTCGGCATCCTCCTTGGTCGTCGTCGTCGTCGTCGTCGTTGTCCGTCGTCGTCCTTGTCGTCGTCATCGTCGTCGTCGTCCTTGTCGTCGTGGTCGTCGTCGTCGTCGTCGTCGTCGTCGTCCGTCGTCCGTCGTCTTCTGTCGTCGTCCGTCGGCACCGTCGTCTCCGTCGTCGTCGACGACGTTGTCGTCGTCGTCGCTGTGGTCGTCGCCGTCGTCGTCGTCGTCGTCGTCGTCTTCGTCCGCCGTTGTCGTCACCGCCGTCGTCATCGTTTTCGTCGTCTTGCGTGATCGTCGTTGTCGTCGTCCGTAGTAGTGGTCGTAGTCGTCGTTGTCGTCGTAGTCGTCCTCGTCTGTCGTCATCCATCGTCGTCATCGTCGTCGTGTGCCGTCGTCCTCGTCGTCGTCGTCTTCGACTTCGCCTTCGCCCGTCGTCCGTTGTCCGTCGTCGTCTTCGTCGTCGTTGGTCGTCGTCGGCCATCGTCGTCTGTTGTCGTCGTCATCGTTGTTGTCGTCGTCCTTCGTCGTCGTTTTCATCGTTTCCAGTAGTCGTCCGTTGTCGGCGTCATCGTCGTCGTCGTTTGTCGTTGTGCGTCGTCGTCGTCGTCCGTCGTTGTCCATCGTCGTCGTCGTCCTGCGTCCGTCGTCCGTTGCCTGTCGTCCGTAGTAGTAGTAGTAGTTGTAGTAGTAGTAGTAGTAGTAGTAGTAGTAGTAGTACTAGTAGTAGTAGTGGTAGTAGTAGTAGTAGTAGTAGTAGTAGTAGTAGTCGTAACCGTCGTCGTCGTAGTAGTCGTCGACCTTGTCCTCCGCCGTCATTGTTGTCGTCCTCATCATCGTCGTCGTCGCCGTTGTCGTCGTCGTCGTCCGCAGTCGCCCATCGTCGTTGCTGTTGTCGTTGTCGCTGTCCTCGCTGACTCCCTGTGCCCGCGACGCACCGCAG